TATAAATGGGATTTGAGAAAAGCTAGAATAGTAACTAAATATAAGGCAGATTGGAAGAAAAAAATATCAGTAATTCACAGATTTTGTGATTTAGGTGCAGAGGATGAAGAAGCAGGGGAGGGGGAGTCAGTGATAACAAGACAACCTGTTTTTGTTGTTGTTTGCCAAATGTGACAGTAGTGCTTATTAAAAACCAATGACAAAGTCTAGTTACAGTTGAAAAGGAGGTAGCAAAGAGTAATACTTAAATCTGCTTTATCCCATAAGGGAAATAAGGAACTCGAGTATTTTTTATTTTGGCCTCATTTCCAAGGCCTGTACTTCTAATAACTCATTTCAAGACAGTCTGAGAATTGCAACATGGCAAAAGAAAAAGCCATAGAAACAAGTGATTGGCATGGAGTTAGAGAGTGATGGATCAGGAAAATCTAAAGGCAGGACATGAGAATGGAAGGCTTTACATAGACAGAATATGACTTTCTGAAAACTAAGTTTAGAGCCCACAGTACTGAAGAAAAGAGAAAACCTGCTTTTTTAGTTTTTGTTCAGTGGATGACTTTTGAGAGCTGCTTCCTTTTGTTCTTAGATCATTTCAAGCCAAAAATGGCCCTCAGTTCAAATGTGGCTGATGTGAAAGCCATCATAGGAAGATCACTATCCTGTACATAGCTAGCATTCAATAAACACTTGTGTGATGAAGAAATGAAGAGTTTTCAGGAATTAGTAAATTAGGATGTGGAAAAAGATTAAGGAGAATCAAACCAATACAAAGAAGAAATGGGGTGAATACACAGACTACAACTCATTGAGAACCAAACTACTGAAGACATGGGAAATGGGTCTTTGGTTTTCCTTATTTGGTTGATAATTCTTGAAAGCTGTTTCTTTTTCTCTTGGTTTATTTTCAAGATCAGTATTACCCTCAACAGTTCAGATCTGGATAAAAAAGGAGACTGATTAGATACAGGAAAGGCAAAACAGTTGAGGCTTTTCAGTTCAGTTCTAAAAGCCTAGATCCCATTGTAGGCTTACTTTACTCCTGAAAAAACTCTGACCATGTTTGCATTTGCTAATCTAGTAATATTTTTCAGTTTTCCAAACCTTTACTCACCTAACTCCTTACTGCATGTTGCTCTATTTTCCATTTAGCAGAGCACCTAGCAAATCCTTCCGAATGTAGCTGTAGCTTCCAGACAGGAGCTATGAAGACGAAGGCCGGGCTCTCCATTCCTGGGCGTGGCCATTCTCCAGGGCCTGGCTACAATGATCACTTCTCTCGTTTCTCTGGGTGCTCCTTCACCTGATTACTTTATCTGCTTTTCTATCTTCAAGAATACCTCATCTATTGTCTCTGTTCCATGAAACTTTTTTGTCTCCATATTGGGGACTGAACTCGTCCTCGTGTTTGTAGGCAAGCGCTCTATCACTTAAGTTATGCCTGCAGCCCTTTTGTTTTTGAGACAGGGACTTGCTAACTGCATGGGCTGGCCTTGAATTCAAGATTCTCCTACCTCTGCCTCCTGATTAGCTGGCATCATAGGCATGTGCCACCAAGCCCAGCTTCCATCGAACTTCTTAAGGAGTTTTTACTTCCTAATTTCAACTTTCTGATCTTTCTCCATTCACCCCTCAGCCACAGTAATCTGTTTCCTACTCACAATGTTTTGACAAACTGCTCTGACAAGTCATCAAAAACATAGGAATGAGAATATATGAGATCTGTGAATTCCTTGACCTATTTGAATTCTCTGCAGTATTGGGACTCTATGGAGTACTTCTTTCCTGTCCTATGAGATACTGCTTCTGGTGTTTATACTACTCTGGTCAGTTTTTCATACTCACTTCTCAAATTCTGCCCATCCCTTACTTGTTGGTGTTCCTAAGGGCTCCACTTTGAGTTTCTTCTCATCTTAACGTACTCCCTGAGTGATATCAGACTATTCCTTTAGCTTCAGGTACCAATGGAACATTTCCAGATCCTCAGGTCCAGGCTACCTCCACTCCAGGAGCTCTGTGCTGAGCTCGGAGTACCTTAAATAAGCACTGTAGTTTAATTAGAAAACAGATGAAGCACCTCAGGAGTATCTTCTTTCATCTCACCTCCATTCTGACATTTCTTAGTTGGTAGTAAAGAAGTTAGAAGGAAGAACAATAACCTCTGTTACAGACCCCTTGGCACTAGAGATAGACCTCCTCAATGCCTATAACCAATCCGAAATAAGAATTCATGTGACAGTCTGTCCATGCAGACTCTTGTGTCAACATCCCTTCCAGAGAAAAATGAGACGGTCCTGAAACTTGGCTGCAGCAGTGCCTTCTAGGAGACGGAGTTGGAAGTGCCACATGGATGGTTCAGTTGAGTTTGAGGCAAGAGTTTTGATTTTTGTATTTGATTCCCAGCCCGCCACTCTCTGTGTAGAGAACGTAAGATTGGGAAATTTCCAGGAGACAAGGGTTACCTTCTGGAACCCAAAGGCTTCCACTTAAGTCTTCCTGCAGGCACCCAAACTCATCAGCCTATACTTACCCCATCTCTCTACATGTATGGTCATCCTAGTTAACAAGATCTTTTACTCACTTGCTCCAGATGGAATCCTGTTATTGGGAACTCCTTCCTAATTAGTAGGGTCCCCTTCAATTCTAGGCCAAAGACCCCTCTCCAGGCTGGCTTCTTCCTATGTTTGGCCAGCCCCCTACCATCGCCAAGCCTCTTGTCTGTACCCCATCCAATCCATACAGCCAAGGCTGCAGCCAGAGGAACCTGACCAAAACACAGAGCAATCATTCATCACCAACTTGTGGTAAAACCTCTACTGCCTTTGTAATGAGGACACCTAAACATGCTCACAACTATAGTTTTAACACAATAACTAATTCACTTTACTGACCAGCCTGTTTTCATTTACACAAGTCTTAAAAAGATATTTCCTACTTTTTCACTGTGCTGCATTCCATTCCCCATGGGAGGGAACTCAAGAATGTCTTCTTTTTTTTTTTTTTGGCAGTACTAGTGTTTGAACTCCAGGCCTCACAATTGGTAGACAGGTGCTTTATCACTTGAGCCACTCTGCCAGCCCTGTGTGTGTGTGTGTGTGTGTGTATTGGGTATTTTAGAGATAGGGTCTTGCTATTTGCCTGGGGTGGTTTTGAACCACGATCCTTCTGATCTCTGCCTCCTGAATAGCTAGGATTGCAGGTGTGAGCCACCAGACAGACAAGGTCATCAGGTCATTATGGGCTCCTCTCCCTATCTCACTGACCACTGAAATGAAAGCGCATCCATCACAGCAAAGGATACAAGTACAAAGACTCACACCAGCACATAGGGAAATCAGCAGACCCAAGGCCACCATCCAGTCCAAAGTCATGCCTCAGCACATACACCCAGAAGCCCATGCTCTGGGGCTTTTCTTTCAAAACTTCACCCCTTGGGACTAGGACTGTAGTTTTAGTTTGTGACAACCAGTAATTACAGTCCTCATTTTGCATGGCAAAATTAATAAATCTTTACTTTCCCTTCTCCAAAAACCCTATTTTCATTATTTGTGAACTGTCATTGAGTCAGGGGACTGGATTTCTATTATAACTTTGAGGTGATAATGTCCAGGCTTTTAGCAGGGCATAGGAAGTACTTTGCAACCTACCTTAACCTCTCTCATTTTTCTCTCTGGTGACTCCCTCATCCAAGCAATGAGGGACACTTTGCAACTTTACAATCACACCATGTTAAATACCAAGTGCCAACCATATGTCCGGCACTCATCTAAACTTGGGAATACAGTGAAGGGCAAAAGGAAGGTCCCTGTAACTCACATTTTAGTAGGAAGAGCGAGTTAACAAGCAGCCAAGCAAAGTAGTTTCAGGTAAGTGATAAGGTGCTATGGAGACTGTGAAATGGGGCATCGGGAGGGAGAGGCAGCTATAGTGCTCAAGGATGTCCCGAGAGGGTGACATTTAGACTTGAATGATGGAAAAGAACAGAAAAGCTACAGGTGAAGATCTGGCCAATAGCATTTTCAGCCAGCTTGATCAGCATATGACAGCAAGAACTAGCTTGGCAGCTTGGTATTTCCAAGATTAAAAACCAAACCAAACAAACCAAAACCGGTGAGTCTGCAATTTGTAAGCAAGGGGTCAATATACCAGATGAGGTGGGGCCCAAGCACATGGGGCCTTGTATATGGAAATGCTCATGGAAAGGAGCTGGGATACTGTTTAATGACAAGAGGAATCTACTAAAGGATTCTGGGGGAGGGAGTGGCAGGCTCTGATTTACCTTTTTTAAACTGTGACTTTAGGCTAGCTCAGGTCATCCTTACACCTGATGTGAATGTTTACTGAGTCAGTTCCCAGAGTACAGGGGGCAGAGAAAGGACCCTTCCAGCAGCCCTCTCAGCGACTAAGACCGGAAGGTGTCCCTACTATATCCTTGCCTCTCCAGTCCTTGTCCACTCAGCGAGCATTCGGGCGCCGGAGACGCCGAAGACGCCGATGAGCTGCCCCCCACCCTCCTTCAAGGGTCCCATCTCTATCTCCTTACTCCGGGCTGTCAGACAGGGTTTGACGCCTGAGTAATGACAAACCCAGGGCCCAACAGCCGGCAATGGACTGGACATCAGTAGGCCGGACGAGACTACCTCGCGTTAGGTGGCCCAGCCGCGGCCAGACCACAGGGCCACTAAGGTGAGGGCGGTGCCCACATTACAATCCCGGCGGCCCCTGCGCGCGGTGCGGATTCCTCCGCTCCCACGCCCTCCCTCAGTCACCGCAGCCCGGTCCCCTGCTGTCCGCCCAAGGCCATCCGCCAGGTTTCCTCAGGGTACGAGACCCATCTTCTCATCACGTTTCGGGAGATGCGTGACTGGGGGCTCCAGAGAAGAAAGGGGACTCTTTGAGCAGAAAAGCGGAGGCAGACTACCGAAGGGTCGGCGCTAAGTGGTCGATTTTCGCGCGCTTTGTCGCGGGGGCTTGTGGGTAGCGCGCCGGGAGGGAGAAAGGAACCGGGGGCTGGGTTGCGCCGCCGCAGGGCCCAAGGGGATGTTCGAGGACGAGCCCCACGCTGAGGGGGCGGCGGTGGTCGCCGCGGCCGGGGAGGCGCTGCAGGCCCTGTGCCAGGAGCTGAACCTGGATGAGGGGAGCGCGGCCGAAGCCCTGGATGATTTCACCGCCATCCGGGGCAACTACAGCCTGGAGGTGAGCGGCGGCAGGTGGGCGGTGGACCCGACCCTCTCCAGGCCCCACCCCCGCTCCGCCCCTACCCCTCCTCTGGGGTGGTGGGAGTTCCCCTCCGGGAAGGGTCGCTGGCTGCCCAGCCCGCGCCATGGAGTGCGGGCTGGAAGGGTGGATGTAGCTCGGCCACCCACCCGTCGGTGTTGAGGCAGGAAACCGAGGAGCGGCCCGCCTCGGTCCTTCCGCGTCACTCTCGGGTCCCCCAGACTCCAGGCTTCCAAACCAGACGTCTGCGCCCCGCCAAGCGGCGCAGATGTCACGGCACTGCAGTTAAATCGATAGGAACATAGAATGGTAAAATGAATTGCGTGCCAAGACTTCGCAGCTCCGCTCTTTAAATATATCATCCCGCTCTTTTTGAACACTGTCTGTGATCCCCGTTTCACCCAAGCCAGGTGCCCCCGGCGGCAGGGCTAGTGATGGAGCCAGGCCCGGATCTGAGCCTTTAATCCCTGCATCCTTTGCCTTCTAGGGGCGGGGTGAGTTGCTCACCTAGTAGTGAGTGCTTTACAGTGAGAGCAAAACCAGTATGCACACACAGTTTATCAACCCCGCTCCTTCTTCGTGGGATTATTATTATTCTGATATTTAGCAATGTCTGGCTCTGAATAAAATAAATGGCGCCTTAGATTTCCTGAATCATTCTGGTATTTTGTCTTCACAACAGCCTTGTAACATGGCACAGCAGAGAGTATTATATCTGTTTTTTACGTGGTAATGTCAAGACTCAAAGGATTGTCTTGCTTAGTGTCGTTCTCTTGTGGAAACCCATATAAGCATAAGCAAGCCTAGTATAGAAATGGCATTGTGATGAAATGTACAGTGGGCCTCCATATGCATGTGTTCAGCAGATCAAAAATGGTGGGGAAAATTACATCAATACTGACTGTACAGAGCTATTGTCATTCCACAAAAATACAGTATGATTTTAAATAGAATTTACATTGTGTTAGGTATTATGAGTAATCTAAATTTAAAATCTATAGGAAAAGGGCTGGGGTGTAGCTCAGTGATAGAGTATCTGATATGCAGAATGCCAGGGTTCTACCCCAGCGGCCCCCTCCCACAAACTGCAAGAAGGTGATTATATATGCCATTTTGCATCAGGGAGTTGAGCATCCTGGATTTTGGTATCCTCTGGTGTCTTGTAACTAATTCCCTAAGGAGATACCAAGACATGATTGTATTTCAGCATACTGCTTCAGTGGCCTTATGGTCAAAGGCTTTCATGAGCCAAAAGGGTTTGACACACACAGGGTGTTCCTCTGACTCAACACCCAGTAAAATAATTCCTAGGTTCAAAGGGATAGAGTTGAAATATGAAGTTGACTGTATATGTGTCTATATATGAGAGAAAAGTACCTCTTCCCAGTCCCTATCCCTCTAATCTACTGGACAAGCCCCTACTTACACTTTCTCTTACACCCAATTAGTTTTTACGTGATTTACCAAAGAGACTCTAGTCTTTACCAAAGAGAGACTAGTGTGTCTCCAGGTTAAGACTGAATACACTGAATAAAGGACAGTGAACTACATCAGAGGGTGGCATAACTAGAAAACTGAGGGAAGAATAAGGACTTAGAAAGATTATGAATTAGCGGCCTCTGGGTTGAACGTAGATTGATTTTTGACAGCCTGAGAAAGCATTCCTGACACTCTAGGGCTTCATTTGGTCTCTCATTGAATAAGTATTTATTGAGCACAAACTGTGGCCAAGGCCCTCAACTAGACACCTGTTTCGATTCTTGACTAGGTCATGCTTGTTCCCTCCCTTGGTGTGCTTTTCTGCATGCCACTTGCCTGCCTGAAGCCTTCCCTCACCCATAGCTCCAGAGACTGCTGACGATCTAACTCTCTATAAGGCAGAGTTGATCGGCATACCTTACATATTTGTTTTAGAAAGCACAGGTGTGTGAATTGAGAGTTTGCAAGTGTTTATTCTTTCCAGCATTTGATTTTCCTTCTTTTTATTTTAGTTTTTGGTTGAAGGTACTTGGAGTAATGACATTTTCCTATCTATCTGCTGCTCCCTAAGAATCCTCTCCTGGACAAAGCCCCTGCTTATATTTCCCCTTCATTTGCCACTTACATTTTTGGTGATTTACCACCTAGCAATTTTAAATCTTTTGTGGAGCCTTCCATGACTTCTAGTCACAGTCAGTTACTAAACTATATTCTATCACACTTTATTTTCAGTTCTATTTACAGCCTACATCTCACCAATTATAGAGAATAGTTTCTTTTGCTATTCTTAGCTCTAGACGTGGAAATCTGTGAAGTCAGAAACCATCTTTTTGGACTGGGGATGTAGCTCAGTGATAGATGCCTTGCCTAGCATACACAAGGCCCTGCATTCAGTCTCCAACTACACACATACACACACACACACACACACACACACACACACACACAGTAAAGAGAAAAAGAAGCCATCTTTGTATTTCTAAGATCTAGTGTCTATGTGGACTCTTTTTTAGGAAAAAAAAATCAAAACATTCCAGTACGTACATTTTCTCTATCTTAGAAGTGTTTTTAAAAGGCTCTATAATACTTAGATGCTATTCCCAGATAGGAGCGTTAGGTTTTAGCTTTATTGATGGCTACCCATTTCCACCCGCCCCTTTTAGTTTAGTGCAAGAGATATTTTTATCAATCTTTTTATTCCTTCTAGAGTCTAGTCTTAAGCAGAAACTGCAGAACAGTGAATAAGAACAATATTATGTTTTGCTATGAGATTTATTTGTTATTCTTAATCCTTAAACTCCAGTTATATTTCAACAATACAGACTTCAAGTGATTTAAGCTTGGAGATATTTCAAGCCTAAAGCAGAAAATTAAGTGTTGAATTCCAAGATGCCACCTTTTTTGTAACTTTGTGAACTAAGATACATACTAAGATAGAGGCCCATACTTAATATTTTAAAGATAACATGTTTTGGGGTAAATGATGCCCCAGATTTTTATCTCCTTTATATCATCCTCCTTTATATTGCATAAGATGAGTATTAATTTTTTATGTGTGACGCCCTTGCCAACTTTCTGCTCTGTTCTCAGGCAAACTGGTTTAAAAAATAAAACTAAAATGGTAGAAGGAAACTTCATCATCATTAAGACCATGATCTTTTTTTAAAATTTATTATTTATCTATCTAGGTATTTATTTGGTGGCACTGGGAGGTTGAACTTAGGGCTTCACACTTGTTAGGTAGGTGATCTTATCACTTGAGCCACTCCAGCAGCCTTTTTTTGTGTTGGGTATTTTTGAGCTAGGGTCTAACGAACTATTTGACTGGGCAGGTCTTGAACCTCAATCCTCCTACTCTCTGCCTCCCAAGTACTTTAGGACTGTAAGCACAAGCCACTGGTGCCTGGCCATGGCTGGTGTTTTAAAATCAAGAAAGCTAATACTGAGAAATTTTAACTCTCTCAGTAATACTAGATGTGGAATTTGGGGGAGAGGCCTATTTTTAGATTAGTATTGAATTAACATGTTCTAGTTGTAAAAACACAGGACTGAGATGAAGGAATTTTATTCCCATTATTGCAACTATTTTAGCTTTGTGACCTTGGGAAAATATATTCATTTCTCTGGTTCTTTATCTGTAAAAGGAAAATTAGACCAAATAATTCTAAGATTGCTTCTGGTTCTAGAATTCAAGCATTTTAACATATATATCCATTTTGCTATGTGTCTTTTGTTTGCCAGGGAGAAGTTATACACTGGTTGGCATGTTCATTGTATGTTGCATGCCGCAAAAGCATTATTCCCACAGTTGGAAAGGGCATCATGGAAGGAAACTGTGTTTCACTACCAGAATACTACGTTCCGCTAAATTAAGGTAAAGCATTTTGATTTTTCAAATGTTTTTGTATAAGTCCTAAATATAATTGTATAGTTTAATTTGTCTTTATTTTAACCATTTGACTTCATTCAGTCTCAAGTTTATTATTGTATAGATATTCTTTCCCAGTCTCACATCTCTCTTCTGCTTTCCTCTTCAACTTCTGACCTCTACCAAAGGCCTCTGTGCTAAAAACTTTTTATCTGTACTTTTTTTTCATTATTTTTTTAAATTTTGGATAATTTCAAGCTCACAGAAAAGTTGCAAAAAAAAGATAAATAAAAAAATACCAATAGCCCTTAACCCAGATTTTATCTGTTTATCAAATTTCACCTTTATTTGCTGTCATTTGCTTTCTCTTTAACTATAGACCGTTCTTTTAAATAATATTTTTTTCCTCTACTACTTCTAAGTAGCATGCTTTTACCACTAATAGCTCAATGCTATTTCTTTTTTGTTTGTCTGTTGAGATAAGGTATTGCTATGTAGCCCAGGCTGGCCTTGAACTCTCCATCTTCCTGCCTCAGCCTCCTGAGTACTGGGATTACAAGTATACGCCACCACACCCAGTTTCAGTGGTATTTCTTAATAAGCTATGGTACAGTTATCAATTTCAAGAAAGTTAACACTAACTAATTTTATCCAGTCCACTCACTATCTCTCGTTGAGTTTTGTTAGTTGATCCACTAATATTCTTAATACTCTTTTTTTTTGGGAGAGAAAGGTATGGAGTTTGAACTTAGGGCCTTTCATGATGATATTCTTCATAGCATTTTTATTAGTACAGTGTCCAATCTAGGATCACATACAGCATTCATTTATCATGACTACTTACTCCCCTTTAATCAGGAACATTTCCACAACCTTTCTTTTCTGCACTGACCTTTTTGTGTGTGTGGCTTGAACTCAGGGCCTGCACCTTGAGCCACTCCACCATCCCTTTTTCGTGAAGCAATTTTTCTAGATAGGGTCTCAAGGAACTATTTGCCTGGGCTGGTTTCAAACCATGATCCTCCTGATCAGCCTCCTGAGTAGGTAGGATTAAAGCTGAGCCACCAGTGCCTGGCTTTGCTATGGTTAGTTTTGAAGATAGGGTCTTGCTTTTTTCCCAGGCTGACCTGGATTACAATCCTATTTTCCACTTCTTG